ACCGACACCAACTAAGAAATTTCCTGGTGGTGTTTACGCAAAAAATTAAATCGCAAATCTTTTAAATAGGATATTCTTCGCTCCTCCGAGCAGCATTATGATAACACGAGGTTGTTAGAGAGAAATACTGCCTTAATATCTTAGCCTTGCTTGGTGGGCTTGGATAACAATGCATCATATTCATAACGCTCTTCGCGTTGTAAGCACATTACAACCGGCTGTAATGGGCAAGTTCTATTGATATTACCGCTGTTCTAGCTAATGCTGATATTACTGCACTCGGCAATTCCACTTCATGTTCCTTCATGTCGGTGATATTATGTTGTTATCGATGCATTGCCCTCGCGCAGTCACAGTTCACGACGTTCCACGCCGTATTCGAAAATTTTATCTTTGAATGGAAATCGTCGCAAGGTCAAATTGGATTTTTATATTGAAGCGATTATAAGATTTTCTGCGCGAAATTCACGACATGAATAAAAATTAGGATCCGGAGCGCCTTTTTTGGTTAAGTTTCCAAAGGTCCTGATGAATAGTTCCAATAAACGGGTAATGGGTTATTGATGCGATTTGATTTCTGACAATTACTTTACCCTAAAAATTGAACGGAGATCTTAGGAAAACCTGAACCCTTTGGGGAATCTTCTTACAGCTTCTACCACTTCGAATTTACCTTTGTTTATTAAGACCGTTTTTTATGATGAGATTTCAAACTTGTTGTAAATTTCTGAAACAAGGTAATTAATTGCCTTGAGAATTTCGTTTGATATACTTTTTTTCATAAGTTATTTTTTTTTTTAACAGTAAGTTTGACTGAGTTTCTAAGAAAGTTTTACTTCCGGAGCAGTAAAGTAAGTAAGTTCAGTATTGTAAAAAATTCCATCCATAGAGGCTACTTTAATATTTTCTTGTCGTTTCCTGATCCTAGAAAATGATAAAATAGGCTTCAGTTTCCGTTTATCGTCTGGGTGAATATTTATTAGTCAGATGTCTGATTATTATTGGCAAAAATTATAGGTATTTTAGAAATATCGTGTAGATGACGTCATCTCTAAATTGTATATAGTAAATAGGTTTTAATTTGTATAAAATAACATACTCCTAGACGTGTAGTTTATACACAGGTGTTGAGTTTTTACTCAAGCCATCAAAATTTTTGGGAAAAGAAAATCAAAATCATATAAGAACACTAGCTGACCCGGCCACGCGTTGCTGTGGCTAAAGTTTTTGTTATATTACATTATAGTAAACAATCTAAGAGGAACAATAAGAGAACATCAGTCACGGAGTCCACTATGCTTTTTCACACAGATGGTATTTGTAAAAAAATATGGTGATCTCCTTATTTGACTTTCTACTACTATAACCCTTTAGTACAATGAAATTATTTACGAACAAAGACGAAACTGTTGATGTTGGTATACAAATTCACTGGATTGAGATTTGAAGGGGAAGTACGTTGAACACAATTAATTAAAATGTTCTTACACTTGATAAATTTCAATGCCTGACAATATTGACATACTTTATCCATTCCACCGGTAGCAATTTTTGAATGCGCTGAGTAGTTTAATATCTGGTGCATATTCAAAGGCAAGCCGAACGAATGATGCACGTGTTAATGAGCGGCTGATCCGTTGCCTTTGTCGATCTAGTACTCGTACTGTAGCTATGTTTCGTTCTCGTGCCGCTCTTGTTCTCGTAATATTCTGTTGCCGACGTTCGTCACGCTGTTCTTGAGATTCTTGTGCACGACTTTCTGCAGTCCTGATTCTTTCAGCTGCATTTCTTGTTTCGATTTGTTCTGGTAATTGCTGAGCTCTTTCAACACGTTTGCGTCGTGACCCTTTGCTGCTCGCGTTGTTGAGGTTAGATTTTTTCGGTGGCATTTGACTGACAATAATAATTTAATCGTTTAAATATTAGAAACCCAGTCGAAAGGTATCGACATCTGTTAGAATCATTTGGAGTTAACAGATAATTGTGACTGTCAAATAATAGCAGACAAATAATTAGCAATAAATTAAAATTGCGACTATAATTTGAGATTTAAACTATCCTATCCCTCAAGTTGGATCGAACTGCACATGGTGTGCGAATTTTATTATAATCGGTTAAGTGGTTTAGGAGTCCATTGAGGACCAACATTGTGACACGAGATTTATATATATTAAGATATGCAATTTCATTTTGAATTTTCAAATTCGAATATTTTGAAATTTTGCCCATGTTTTGAAGTTATCGTAAACACAGTAAATTTTAATCAAAACAGATCTGTTTATCCCCCTCAAAAAAAAATTGCCTAATAGATCCTAGCGAAAACGTGCAAAAACCAAAAACAATTGGCCAAAATTCTGAATCAGCCTCAATTAGTTAAGAAACGTTATAATTTCGATTTAACTGCGTTGATTTTGTCTTAAAACTTTTTTCTATTAAATTTTATGATCGCAAAATGAACTAAAACAAGAAATTCATTAGAATACACAATATAAAAACTTCAATATTCAAAAAAAAAAGAAAAACCAACGAAAACAAAGTAATAATCACCCTACTTACAAGAAACATATACATTGTGTTACGAAAGAAGCCCTTACGCCGCCCCGGTACGACGCCTATGGGTTCTAGTACGTATGTACGGTGATGGATAACTCATCGGCCGGCGGTTCGCTGACGAAAAATCTGGAAACGGAAGTCGCGATGAGCAACCCAGAAAAACCTCGAAGCGGCGTTCTCGATCCATCGAGAGGAACGTATAGATTTAATAGAGACCACCGTCGGGAATGATTATTATTGAATCGACTGGTGGAGTCCAGCGAATGTGGAGAATCCAGCCAAGTTGCAATTAAGAGTAAATTTGACTGCGTTTTTTATGGCCTGACGGAACCTCGAAATTTTACATGGTAAATGCCGTTTAAATTTTATGAAATAGCATACTTCTGTACTTGTGATTTATGAATCCGCCTGGAATTTTTACCCATGATCTTCGTAATAAATCCCTATGTATTTAATTTTGATCCATGCATTTTTTACTTATTTTAGTGAAATCCGTGATCCCGTGAATATTCGACAAATAAAACAATGCTGTTTATTCAGTAGGACCCGTTTGTCAATAATTGTTGTCATTGACGATTTTGCTGCATGTAGTTATGCTGAATTGAACGCCCAGATTATTAAACATCCGTGTTTGAATGGAAAAAAATAATTGCCAGGAACCATTATAGTTTAAAATCGATTGAATATCACAGTACAGCGTAATGGTTGTCTCAGCAATTACTTGCACGAGGAACAATTGTAAAATAGAACCTAATTAACGTCCATCAAAACGGAGTCTAGTTATTTCAGACGGTCTGTTTAATTGTTATAATTTAAATTCGTGCACTTATTTATTTCTTTGGAGTGTTTTAGTACGGAAATTTTAATTAGACACAGCATGAAATTCTACAAATATAATAAAAATATTTAGAAAGTGTTCAAATTGTATTGTAACTAATAATATTATATCCAGATGTATATAATACTTAAATTTTTATATCTCTTATATTCATTGCGTTTGTTGTATATTAAAAAGGCTCACGCAGAGTGAGACAGGATTTAAAACTGGAGTATGTTGCTTAATTAACTTGAATAAAATCGGTAAACCCCAACAACGCACTGACCCTTAATACTTTCAACTCAACTTTTTATTTTTGTTCTCCATTGTATTATGCAATTCCGTAAACATGGTGTTTGGAGAAATTTATGTAAATTACAGAACTTTTCTACAGTATAACCAGGCTTCATGCGATGTAAGTGTTTAATGAGTTGGCGAGTAACGACTTATAAAAATTTCAGCTTCATTTTAATGATATTTTTAAAATACGTGTAACGTAAATGTATATAGCCTGTGTGGGAGTATGTGGGGCTAAATATAAATTTTATAGACGAAAATTGTGCAAATCAGGATGGTGCTTTGAATATAAAATTTTAAAATTGGGTTATTATCTTTTTAGTTGTTGGGGCGTAAAAATGTTACGTTTAGACAGAACTGCCTTTAAAAGACACTGTTTTTTTTTGCCTACAACCTCCATCTAGAGACGGCATTGAATCGATAAAATTCATTTATAATTTTGTAGGTTGTTTAGATGTAAAAGTGCTATGAAATAAAATCGCTGACTTCAATCAACAAGTGTAATTAAGGGATAAAAAAATGTAGGGCAAAAGGGTAATCGTGTTCAGCGAACTGCATCCTGTTATCATTCGTTTGTTAACCCGAGACCCATTTATAACTTGTTTTACATAATTGTCGTTACATAATAACTCGTCCCATTATAGTCAATCATGACAGTTACCATTATTTTTTCTCTATACTGATAATATAGAGCGCGCTTCATTTAAAATCTTTCCACATTTTTAACTTTATAAATCTAACAATTGTAAATATTCCAAGCAATGTTGTCTTCTATATAGTGTTTTATATAAAAGTATAAAATTAATATCTGTAGATCTTTTTTACCCACATTTAAGTTGAACGCCTTATGAAATTCCGAATCTCTTCTTAAACTTATCTCGTGGCAAAAACTACAGTGCTGCGGTTTGATTGTTAAGATGCTTCGAGCGGCGGCTCCATCGATTTTGAGCCCATTAGACGGGAAATATCGCGAATATTAAGAGAAGGGTCTGTGAATTTTTTACCTATCCGTAGCTTTTAGTGAGTGACGTTCGGATATATAATGTTATAAATGCAGGCTGTAGTATTACAACATGACGCAATCAATTTTCTCAGTAGACTACCTTACAAGAAAGGAGTGATGTATCACCTAGGGGTTTCAAGGGGCCAGACTATTGACAGAAATTGGAAATAGATTGAATATCGACCTTTTATCAGACAGCTCGGGCATTACATATTCCGAGAGCTTTTATCAAAGTTATCAGTTAAATTGGTTGTTTAACCGAACGACTTTAAAATAAACTTTGCTGTTGACTGCGGAAAGTTTTGATATTTTGCCATTCCTCTATTTCAGATTCACAACTCCAGCGAAAACGTTGTAGTTTTGTCTTCCGTTCAACTCTCTACCAGCGGTGTTTACAGATGCGAGGTCTCTGGAGAGGCTCCCTCCTTTCAAACCGTCACCGAACATGGGGAGATGATGGTCGTAGGTAAGCCAACAGCTTCATTTGTACCTTGTTTGTAATTATCTTGAGCACATTTCTACGCCACACGAGCAACTGAATCGCGTATGTTTCAGTTTTTGTTATCTGAACGTTTCCTGAAACAGGGTTTAACAGGAGCTAAGTGGGCTTTTTTGGCGATGCGGAGAATTTCGGGTAATTTAGGAAAATATGCGGCTTTAACTGATAAATCATGTAGTGCGTCAAATGTGAAACGATGAATATTTGTTCAGACTTTTTGTGTGCTAGAAGAGCTTTATTTTCGGACCAATGCAAAAATTGGAAAATCAACCGACAATCCAAAAACAGCTTTTTCACGTAAGCTATTTTACCATAATGAATGTGGCGTGGCTTGCTATTTCCAAAACCGCTTCCTTTTAAAAATATAAATTAGGGCTAAAATGGGTTTATGATTTTCGAGTGTATTTGCATTTTATATATAAACGATCATAGATTTACTTTTTACCTCCCAAGCGTAAGCGAAGGAAGTACCTATTGTAATTGAGTCCGTCGACCGAATTTCTACTTTTACGTTTTCTCAACCTTTTATGGCCCCTACAGTACGAAGAAATAGGTTTCCCGTTTCCGTCTGTCCGTTTGTCTGTCGTCTCGGATTTTTTTAAATGGTGAGAAATATCAATGGTTAAATGGTTTAGAAATTTTATTTCTGGTTGTATACTTGAACTTTTTAGGCTCCCAATTTCCTGTGAATAATCGTACGTTATATATTATATAAGTAAATTTATATAATCGTTTCGTTCCTGAAGCGGAAGATTTTTGAAATAATTAATATCTCGAAAAATTCCTTTCATCAACTGTGGAAAAATTGTTGGAATTATCGAAAAACTGAAACCTCAAGTACCTTCTACAGTGTACAAGAAAATGTCTTTGGGTAACTTTAGAAGTGTACCCGGAAAGCGGCCAAAAAATTTGATCCAGAAGGATATTAAAAAAATTAAATTTTTGAAATGTTATCTAAAATCCACAAAAAAATCTGAAACATAGATTCCGAATCAACATTTTCTGCAATATTCAGTTCGAAATTGAAATATTTTAAATATCTAGAAAATGTCAGATTTCATTATCGATTCTGGAACAATTTTTAGAACTTTCGAAAAACTAGGGTCGCAAATAACAATCTACAAGAAAATGTCCGTGGGTAATTTTTGCAAGATGCTAGGAAAACTGTCAAAAGTTTCAATTTTTGGTATAGTTTTGAAAATTGCATTCTATCCTATAAGATTTTATTGACGATAACGAGACGGTGAGAAATATTTATGGCTAACACCAGTTCACTCGAATTTGTCTGAGAACATTTGGTAGGTAGTTGTACTCATAAAATAATGGTCATTTCTGTTCATGAGTAGCGATGGTCCCTGCCCGGACCTGGATTATTCTGGTTTTTAACATCTGGGGATTACCGGCACGCGACAACTTAAGTTCTAAATACCTCTTGCTATTGTACTACTGTCCGTCTCGTTATTGCCAATAAAATTTTCTGAAATATTCGGTTTGAAAGTGAGGCTTCTGAAATATCTCAAAAAATGTAATATGTTATCTATTAATTCTAGAAATTTTCGAAAAGTTGAAGCCGAAAATAATTTCTACAGGGTCCCGTTTTACACTCAAAATCACCACTGGGTGGTCTTAACTGTGTAATTGTATTTTTTACGTTCAGAGCGCAAGTATTATAATAGGGTTAATCCGGACAATGGCCACTTTCATATTTTGTTTCATGACGCCTACAGTGCGAAAAAATATCTCTCCTGTTTCTGTCTGTCTGCGTCGATTTTTATTAGACAGATAATCTCCGAAACTACTGGACTTCCTGTTGTAAAATTGTATACGTAATTGTGTAGATAGTAAAAAGGTTAACCAAAATTTGTATAATCATCCTCAGCAACAATTTGATGACGTCCCCCCAAATTTTTGTACATTAAACATTGTTTAAATTTTATAAAATAATCTATTGCTATACTTGTGGTTTATGCATCCGCCTCAATTTTTAGCATGTTTCATTGAAAATTAAAATTTTATAATTTTTCAAAGAAGCGGGATTTGTTGCACTGTACTTCAGAGGTGAGAGAATGTTTTGTCGAAATAACCTTCGACCAATTTTTTGTTCGACTTACTTTTGCTGTATTTTTCTTGGCATTACAGTTTACTGTATGTTATTTTAAGGATTAAGACTATTAAGTATTTTCAGAAAATATGTGTAATATGACTCAAATACAACATTCCTGAAAAAATATGTTTTTGAAAAGGTACTTTGTGGTTGTGTATGTAAAGAAAAATTGTATAAACTTTTCAGGACTTATTCTTAAAAGTGAATTAACTATAGAATAGATACATATATACATTTTTGTAAATTATAAAAATAGAAATTAGCTCAATTATATTTTGGTGATCTGGTTGTAATGGCTTCCATAGTTCAGAAACAACATTTCATTTCTGATTTAGGGAAACCGTTTAGAATTGCTTAATATATATCACTCGAATTTAATATTTGTTAGTAAAACAGCTAATAGTTAATATAATTTTTAAATTTGATTTTCGACTTTTTTGCGGGTTTGTAATTCGATAACTTTTTTTATTTTCAATGCGAAGAACCTGACAAATATTTAACTGTCCTGAATTATCACATCAATATTGTAAAACTACAGATATAACTACCCCAATGACTTTTTTTAGTTCTTGAAACACTCAAAAGCTGAAGAATCTTGTGTGGTAATTGATTTAGGTTCCATTTGGCAAATATTTAAAAGCTAACGAGAAATATCTCAACTGAGTGTTCTCCAATTCGCAAGAGGAATATAAAAAAAATTATAAAAGTAGGTTGATAATAGCGAATTTATTATTCATGCAGAAGGAGGAAAGTGTGTATATAGTACTTTATTTTTTGCCCTATGATTTGTTTATGTCTTTTTATTTCAACGTAAACTTGTAATTTACGTCAAATGAAAACATGTCTACGCTATAATAATGCTCCATTTTTTGTGAAAGTTTTTGTTTGTCTCTGTCAGTAGGACTAATATCATTTCAAAGTGAGTTGCTAGTTATTTCCTTTCATTTTTACTTCCCGAGCGTAAGCAAAGGAAGTATTGTAATCGAGTCCGTCGGCCGACTCTCTACTTTTACGTTTTCTCGATCTTTCATGACCCCTAGAAGACGAAGAAATAGGTCTCCCATTTCCGTCTGTCTGTCCGTCTGTCCGTCTGTCCGTCTGTCCGTCTGTCCGTCCGTCTGTCCGTCTGTCCGTCTGTCCGTCCGTCTGTCCGTCTGTCCGTCTGTCCGTCCGTCTGTCCGTCTGTCCGTCCGTCTGTCCGTCTGTTGTCCCGGATTTTTATTAGACAGATAATCTCCGAAAGTACTCGACCGATTGTTGTGAAATTTTGTACTTATATTAAGAATATCATGTAGATGGTAAAACGCTAACCAAAATTTGTCTAATCATCCCCACCACTAATGCGATGACGTCACTTCAAAATTGTACATAGTAAATGGGTTTTCAATTGTATAAAATAACATAGTCCTACACATGTAGTTTACAACTCCGAATCGACTTTTCACCCGAAACGTCCAGATTTTTGGAAAAAAAATCAAAATTATAAAACAACATTTTGAAATTTAATTTTTAATCTGCTAACCAGAATGCTTTGAAATGTTGCAGATGTTTTAAGGCTATAAAGAGCATCATAAATCTTTAGTCAAAAAATATTTGCTTACCCCCTCCAAAAACTTGATGACGTCAGCTCAAAAGTTTGTGGAATAAATCATATCTAAAATGTACAAAATATGATGAGTCTGTACTTGTGATCTATCACTCCATTCATATTTTTTGGATTTGCATATACAGGGTGACTCAAAAAAATTAATGAATGCGTAAATATATTTTATTGATTTAATCAGGAACTACAAAACCGAATGCTCTGAAATCTTGCAGATGTTTTAAGGTCATAAAGAGCATAATAAATGTTTAGTCAAAATATATTTGCTTATCCCCTCCAAAAACTTGATGACGTCAGCTCGAAAGTTTGCCGAATAAATCTTATCTAAACTGTACAAAATATGATGAGTCTGTACTTGTAATTTATCACTCCATTCATATTTTTTGGATTTGCATATACAGGGTGACTCAAAAAAATTAATGAATGCGTAAATTTATTTTTTCGATTTAATCATGAACTGCAAAACCGAATGCTTTGAAATCTTGCAGATGTTTTAAGGTTATAAAGAGCATAATAAATGTTTAGTCAAAATACATTTGCTTATCCCCTCCAAAAAATTGATGACGTCAGCTCGAAAGTTTGCCGAATAAATCATATCTAAAATGTACAAAATATGATGAGTCTGTACTTGTGATCTATCACTCCATTCATATTTTTTGGATTTGCATATACAGGGTGACTCAAAAAAATTAATGAATGCGTAAATTTATTTTACTGATTTACTCAGAAACAACAAAACCGAATTCTTTGAAATCCACTGCGAAAAAAAAAACATAATAGGCATGCAGTCGTCACGTTTCCGACAGCGAGGGAAGTACTGTCGAAACTCTTTAGACCAATTTTTAATATTTAATGTTTGTTGTTACTCCTGCAACTGTAGCTGAAAATGTCTAAGAATTTCTATATACCGAATCGGTGCGGGCATTCATGCACTTGAACCTCCAGTCGGAATGATTAGTCTTCATGTGGCTAACTAAATAGTACAAAAAAAGGTGAGTTTTTCCTTGAAATTCACGCATATCCAGTGACTTTCAATTGAAGTTTAGGTTTAAAACACGAAGATCTTCGCATTACAGACTCAGTTTTAGGGGAGAAAATATTGAGAGAACAATAATTGTTTATCTATATTTTTAGTTACAGCTCATCGTACTGTCCTGAAGTTCTGGTAATGTAGTGATATTGTGTATCTGATATTTAGAATCATTCAAAGCATCCGACTACTAGGTTTTAACAAGCAGCTAAAATAAAGAGAGCAGTTAC